AGCTTTAAAAGCAGGTATATAATATACATTATTATCATTTTTAATTATTAACATTTTCTACAACGAATTGTTACATTATAGAAATGATCTGAAAAGATATCAATTACACAGAAAGTGGATCAGCCGACACAATAATAAAATTTAAATCGTCTGGTTGATCTCTCCTTTTATAGTATGCATATGCAAATATACGTTGGTGGGACTTACTAGAGTTAGAGCCAGCTTTGATGCAAATAGCTAATAGGTCCCACTAAGGACCGGGGCTCCTTTATGCAAATGAACAGATTATGCAAATATACGTTATGCAAATAGACAGGTGCGACTGTACAGTCAAACCTATTTATACCGGACATGTATATACTGGAATCTCTTTATTCTTGTGTACCGTTCGTTCCATATGAAAATACTTTTACCGGACATCTCGTATAAATCTCCATATACCGGATCCGGAAGAATTTTGAAGGATAGCAATAGTAATAAAAATTTTCTTTATACCGGAAAGAGCACGTGATATGGCGTATTTACGGTATGAGTTCGTTAATAAAAAGACGAAAAGATCAATAAATCAAAACGGAGCCGAATTTCTTTAACATCTTTGCAAAAACGAGAGATATGTGTCGTTAAATGTGAATATCCGCATCTCACGCTAACAGACAATGAAGAAGCGGAAATAAGACCAACCATCTCTCTCCACCAGGCAGTTACTGTTTTGAAAACACTAACACAATTTTTACAGTATTCAACCGGGCTGGAAATTCTATCAGAAGACATTGCTGTACTTTATAGAGTACGGAGATTAATGGAATTAAAATACACAGAGAGAAAACTTTAGATAGTTATGTTAATAAGGGCTAACATTCGCATGAGAAGTTAACAACTACCCCAGTAACTCCAAGATTTTGTTGCGATCACAAGATCAAATGCTGTCGTCAGCAGCGTTTTCAGAACTACACTAACCTACCAAAAGTATACAACAATCAATAAAAACGAGATCAAATTTAAATTACTCGACACATAATATTGTGCAACTGCTCTAAAATTTAAACCAAACAAACTATAATTAATTGACTAAATCTTATCAATTTGTTTCCAATAACCAATTCGCGGAATCGATAAAGTGTAATATGCGATAAAGAAACGACTGTTAAGGAGAAACTGATAAGTAAGAGTTGCATTGGCGTGAAATGGAAATACAGTGACTTAAAAGGCTTGAATGTTCTCTTAATATTAAACTCATAATACTGTAAGTTAAATTATATGTGAATTTGTATTGAACTAGAGTAAATTGAGGAACGAATTGGTACGAAAAGCATGACTCAAAGAAACTAATTGTTTACTATAAAATTTATTGAAACAGCCTGTCATCATTATTATATTATCATACAAAAGTCCGGTATGAAACTATTGCTAATTTTCCGCTGGAATAACATTCGAATTTAACGTTAACTGCAGCAAATCTTGGAAATAAAGTTTTGCGCCATCAAACTTTAATTCTCTTAGAAGTACAGTCATAATCCCCATTTGAACTGGAGATGGGGATATATTTTAGATGGGATACAAATGAGATGGTACGACTGTAGTTATCATCGATCGTTTCTTTATATTTTCTTTTTTGTCTACTGCACTACCCAGAAAAAAAAATCATGAGCCAAACTTTATTTTAAGCGATGGATTGTATATATATATATATGGCAGAGGTTGTTTATAAGACCTAATTTCTCAATTCTTAATCTCGTTATCTCGACATGTATGGTCAATCAAAACTGAACTTTCAACTTCTGCCATCAATTATTCTCCTGTTTCCTCTTCTGGTTGATGCTCTTCTTCCTACCAATACTGATGACGAGGGTTTATCAGACCCAACTAGCGAGTCGGTCTTTGATTTGATGGCTACTGTTCTAATTGCATCGATCCTAACGATTGATGTTGATCGTATAAAACGTGGAAGAAAGTTTCTGCAAAGGACATTCTTCTCTGCAAGTCTATTTATTACATTGATAATAATTTCTCCCATGCAAATTTGGTTTGTGCCAGAGCTTACAAAGTTACAAAAGACACTTTTTTTATTGAATATCTTATAACAACGCTTTTGTCGGGCATTCTTCTATACGGTTTCAATGCTGTTATGATATGCTGTATGCGAAATATACCTGTAAAATACTTTGAGCTACTTCCTACATTTTTAACTTGTACGTGTATGTTCGGCAACGACTTGACTTTCGGCTTTCTGGCTGTGAGACGTGGATACGTGAATTCGTGGTTTGTGTTTGGACCCGTTATCGTAGCATTTTTTATTGGCGTAGGGATATTCATGTACGTTCTAAAGTGGGAACTGACATCTGATCATTATGTGAAAGAGGATGAAAAGCTTAAAAAATTGTTTAAAGTTTACCAGAGAAAATCTCGAAGGGCAACATGGATAATTGGATTTTGTTCCCAATTAATGTTTTGTTTGATAGTTGCACCATCAGTTCTTTGGATAAAATTTCATCTTACGTTGGGTTTTATAGCTTTTACAATGGAAGACATTTCTATGAAATTACAACGTAGAATTGAGGAAACTGAGATAATTAAGAATGAAACAGAAAATGGAACAGCGTCGGCTAATGAAAAAGATGTTGCGATTGAAATTTTTTAACTTTGAATTAGATATTAATATTAATGACTTAACTACATTGTATATTTTATTATATAATAGTTTACTATAGTGTAGCATATACGGTACTATTTGTTTATTTTATGATCACGCTTACAAAGTGTCCACTCCCTGGACAGAAGCATCCGATGGGAGTCTTTTTGTAACAATAATAGAAGAAATTCATATCTTAGGTTTTTGAAGCGTTGTAAATGACTAAAAATTAAACAACTGCGATTTTTGTCGGTCTTCATTTTATTTTGCCATTTGTTATTAGAAAAACTACTATACGCCTCATGCTCTTCTTGGCATGCTCCCAATTAATTGGAATCCGTTTGGTAAAGATCTTTCAGGCAGGCAGTCTTGATTACTGGACTTGGGGCAGGAACAAGTAAATGCTGTCTAAAACATATAATAATAAAAACATATAAAAGCCGCACGGCGTTTATTTCAACACAAACTTCAAAATCGATATCTCCAAATGTTTCTGAATTCTTATGGTCAAAATGGCGTAATGTCTCTAGGTAAAAACTTCAGTGTTTGGAAACTTTTCTGGAGACATCCGATCGGGCTGAAATTTTACTGTGTTATGCACTTTATGCACGAAAATTTTCAAAGTGTTTACTTGTTCCTGTCCCAAGCTAGGAGCGGTAGGATACTTATGAAATTCGGTATTCAATTGGATTAAGTCGACGGCCAATCGGGTAGAATTTTTATTTCCTCGATTGACACCATTAAAGTCATTTATTTGAATTAATGGTAAGAGAATATATATATATTAATATTGTCTTAGGGCCAAGTAAAAAGAGCGACATGTCTTACTTATGGATATACCTTAACCTGTTTGACTCTCAGAGATTCATGCAAACAAATTAAAATGTTTATATCGAAAAAATTTCCTTGCAAAACTTGTAAGTCTGAATAAAGTGTGATTACTCAACTCTCGCATTGTGGCTTTTTGTTAATCATGGTCATCATGGTGCATTATGCCACATAATATTCTAATACTGAACTTTAATAACGGGTAATTTTTGGTCACGTGCTTATAGCTGTCAAAGCACATCATATTAATATTACGTAGGGTGTCTGAAAAGTTTTGACAATATATTTATTTTTCGAAAACGTACATAATAACTTTAAAATAAATTA